ATTTGGAACCCTATTTTGGTTCTGATTTTTCACGCTAAGCAAACTATATTGGAATTTTGTTTTTTTTTTTTTTTCAAATTAAAACGGTAACAAAGGTTTGTTGCTGAAGTGATAATATTTATTTTACAATTTTTCATTATTTAAGTACATAATTGACTGCAAACATTGCGAGAGGTACTGAAACTTACAATTAACAAATAATTAATGAACATTTTATAAAATTAGGTAGGTACTTATTTATTAAAATTTTGAAAATCGATCTATTATTTTTCACATAGGTAAAAACTTTCCCTAACTTTTGCGGCCAATGAAAAATCCTTGTACTTAATTTCTTAAAGTATAAATGAAACATGGATTACTCTTTGTTACTAATTGATGTAATTTTTTTTATTTTAATTAGTATTCAGTTCTACCTTTTTTGTCATTTGAAAAGCACGTCTTTGTTTATCTCATATTCTACAACACATTCAATCTAGAAAAAACTCACTATCATCCTCTTCATATCTAATACTGTCTTATCTAAGTTTTTACTATCTCTCTCGGCCTTGTTCTCAGAGTTCTGGTCAGGCGATGGAACTTGCACGAAGCAAATTATTCATAATTTCAATTTTATAAAAAGTTAAAGTGAAAGTCGCTACGCTATTGGTTCAAATACGAAAAATTTGCCGCGAACTGACGCAGAAACCCAATGTGATGCTTCTGCGTAACATTTGTTACGTCATCACTGCTTCATGTGGTAGCAATCGCAATTTCACGACAGCCTGAACATTGCCAGGTTCTCGTGGTCAGTTGCTTCTTGCTTGCGTTAACGTTTGTTCACGTCTTTCGTTTCAATTTACCGAATTCATTTATTCGTAGAATAAACTTTTTCTGCAAATTACTAATAAAATTAATTTTATCTGAACACTCTTTTATTTTACAGGTGCATTATACAAACTCTGGATGCCATGTGCTACGAAGGATTCTTCATATCAGTCCTTTGCCACTCCTGGATGAAGGAAGCATTAAACACCTTTTCTCCGCTGGAATTAGAGGCAGATTTTGCCATTGCTAAAGGAATGATTCATGACAATAAAATGGTAACAGCATTATTTAAAAACTACAGATATCATTTTACTTTTAATAGCATTTTAATTTAATTAATTAAATTATGCAGTTTTTCCAGGGTGGCGGTCAAACAATTACACAACTATATGTTTTTGTAACATTTCGGTTTATTTAACCATCTTCAGACTTTTGGAGTGTTACTGCAGTAATAAACCGAAACGTTACAAAAAACAT